CAGCATAACCAGGTGGCTGCAAACCCAGCCATGCCCATTTCACATCTCCGGAAAGAATGGCTTGGTGACAAAACGCAAAATCAATGTGTCCAACAAGGGGAACATCAGCAAGGGCATGTCGGGCAACTGAGTCGGCAAGATCATTCCAAGGATGAGCCGTGTGTCCTCGGACCTCGTTGCAGCTGCCTCCTTCCTGCGTAAACCAGGTGCCAAGCCAGTGCGCCAACGCGACCAATTCACAGTGAGAACCACATGACCATGAGGATGTTGAAAGCATTGCGCTGAGCTTCAGGTCGGGACGAATCACTGTAAAAGCCGATCGTCCCATCACCAGCGCAACCAAATGTGCAGCAACAGAGGCAGTGAGCTCCGCCGCCACGTTGTCAGCATGTAGTGCGCCAATCCATTGTGGAGAGCTGCCATTGATTTCAACTCGTCCAGAGAGAGCGCCAAGAAGGGTAGGAGAACCATACCAGTCATACTCAACCGCAATGACGCTCCAAGCAGCACCATGTCCTCGAGCGGAGCCATCGACATAGAGAGCCAATTTTCCCGCGAAGGAAGGCTCAATGTAGCTGCCTGGGTCTTGAAGAGCATGTAGTGTAGAAGCACGCATGTCAAGAGCCTCTGGTAGTGGGCCAAATGAGAGGCTCATTTCCTGAAGGCGTTGAGGCCAATCCTCCTCTTCAGAAAACAGAAGCTCAGGATGGTTCACCTTGCTGAGGTCCTTGTCGACCATGGGCGGAATCACTGCATCAAGCGACAGAGTCACCGGGTGTGTTTTCTTCTGAACCACTTGAGCATGAGTCTGAAGCATATTGACGGCGTCATCAGCCTCTGGTGTTGAAATTGTGGTACTTGGCGGTAGATCTATTTCAAGACTGTCGCCATTGCCAATCTGAACGGCCTGGATCGCTGGAAAAACATGAGCACCTCTACGAACACGGCAAGGACCACGTAGATCTTGGGCAAAATGAGCCTCGATGACGTCTGCTCCAGAAACCCGGTTCGGGAGATAATACATAGCCTGCATCATCAGTGGGTCCTCACCTTGGTGTGAGATTGCACTGACCAAAACAGAGGCATGAATCGGGTCGGCCCTTTGCGTTAGCAGTATGTGGGCAGTGGGTGACATCCATGGCAAACGTGGTGGCGTAGGGTCCACAACAGCAAAGTCAATCGACTGATGCGTGTGAATTTGATCTTGCCATACCGCAATCAAAGAGCCTCTCCATGTTCGGCGATCTTGTAGAAGACGAACCGGTCTGGATACGGGACACCTTGATGTGGTCTCTGCATCCAGGTACCATGTGTGAATGTAGAAGACGGGGCCTTCTTCGAGATGCTCAGGAGCAGCATGGGTGTCAAAAGCCTGTTCGAGCTGGCTAAACCAATCAGGGGCAAGAACAGCAGGGAGATCGGGGCGTTCTCCATCTTGGACATGCAAATAGTGGATGCCTTGTTCCAGCAGTGCTGCCAGTCGCTGTCGAAGATGTGGATCAGGAAGCCCGATCAACGTATGGATATCCACTGTCACATCACGTTGAATAATGAGGTTGAAGACATCCCCATGGACAGCTGGAATGTACGCCTCCCCACGTAGCTCCCTTGTGCCGTAATACAATCTGCAACGATTTGTAAGCACCTCGGGAGGACAGTGATAGAGCATGTTGGTCATCAACAAAACGGAGTGAAGTCGTACATGATCACCAGCAACAACGGCACACGACTGTGGTAAGCCTCGTTGTACAGCCGTGTCCGAGATAGTGACAATGATCGAACGTAAAAATGGGTCAGGTCGTTGAATCAACAATAGCTGTGCACATATATTGGGAGCCTGGTCATCAGTCATGGGGAGAACCGCCACAATCTGAATGTCGTGGCCAGGCAGCACCAAATCTCGCCAAGCGGCCAGGATGTCAGTGACCCAAGAAGTGGGATCGGCCCCCAAAATCACAATGCGCGAGGAAAGGCAATGTTGAACTCGGCTGTGGTCAGTGTACCAGGTTTCGACCCTTGCCATGTACTCGACTGCACCAGGGCCTGGTCTGGCGAATTGTTGCCAAATAGGCCAGAGCTCTTGGATCCAAGAAGGAAGGTCAGCCAAGGGCACATTCTGCTCTGCAGGAAACTCAGGCATATCTTCTTGTGCAGTCTGCAGTGCCCCCATGGCCCGTAGGAATTCCTCCGTCCAACTGAGGCGTTTCGATGGGGGCAGGGTTGAGGCACTCTGATCATACAAAGCGAAATCACGGCCAGTGGAGATACATGCCTCAGTATCCAGGGGCAGATCAACATCATTGGTATTAAGGATTTTGGCAGAGATGTCCATGAGTGGGAGCGGCAACGGAGAAGCTGTCTGCATCAAGCTTGTAGCATCATCAGCTGCCTGCCCATACTCTTGACGAATTTCTTCAGATGGAACCAAGCTTGGGGAGTACCCATCTTGTGGCGTGGCCAATGGGGAATCAAGCATAGAGCGTCGAGCATCACGCAATGCCTCTTCCATGAGGTGCGATGTGGTGTCGTCACACTCTTCATCAGGGGGGACGCTGATCAGCACATAGTCCCCATGCGATGCCCAAAAGAACTGCTCATCCTGCAATGGAATCAGCTTGTCGTTGACCTTGACGATGCATCGATGCTGAACCCTCTGACAATAATACAGGGTGAGGGAAAGCTCCAAAATGAGGCGCCTTGTCAATCTTTGAGGCATAACCACCACACGACGGTCCACCGCCGGGAAGGTTGCATAGTGATGTTCATGACGATTTCCATGAATCTCCACGTCGACAAGGCAAAGGCAAACCGCTTCCCCGGGCACAAAATCTGTAAGATGGTGCACCAACAAGGGCGTAATGTGTGCTGGGATGTACTTCAACTCAACATTGACCCGATAAACTTGGACAAGATCATGTCGATCAAAACCAAGATGTTCAGCAATTTCGGCAAGCTGACCTTCAACGTCAAGGCTGGAGATCTGAGCATGTATGGCTGGATTGTCACGCCAATACAACAAAACGGTTCTCACCACCCCATCTCGGTGTGGAGCAGATTCAGTCACCCGCTCAGGTGAGGTAGAACGCTGGCTGTCATGCTCATTGTCGGACGATGTAGAATGTGCAGTCGAACCATCATCAGGATCTCCTGCATCATGCACGTCTTGCTGATCAAACCCGGGCCAGTCAGGTTGTTGAAATTCATTTCGCAGGCGTTTGATTGCATGCGCCTGAACAAAAGAACCTTCATCATCACCATAGAGAACCTCTTCATCTCGCCCTTGTGAAAAGGAGTCGCCATGTGGAGAAGGTTGAAGAGTTGTAAAAGATGAGATTGAGAGCCGGTGCAGAGACCACGGTTTCTCTGTCCAAGTGGAGAACGCCTCAACTGAGATGTCCATGCTGGCGCTAAGCAGCGAGTCCGCCGCACAAAATTGCAAACGAATTGTATTAGAGAAGGAAACCTTTCTGGGACCACTGCGTTTCCCACAGCACTGCGGTGTGCGCACCAATGGAGCTGTTGAAGGGAGCCCCAAGTCAAAGGCGGCCTGCAGACCCTCAAGGCGGGCTGCCCATAACGACTTGAAGGTGGGCTCGTCACAAATCGAATGGCTCCAATATGCCACCACAGCCTCTGACGTCCCAAGTTGACGCCCTTGACAAGCAGACCCTAGGGCTTCACCTTGTCGGGCTCCATAAAAGACTGATCTTCTAATGCAGCTCCGTCCAGACGCGGCCGCTTGGACGCTTTTTGCTGCTCCTCCACCATCTGATCGGCCGTCTCCTTGAGATTGTTCAAAGAGCCCATCATCTGCTGCAAACCATCTGAGATTTTCACGGATGCTGCATCCATTTTGTTCTCCTCCTCGTCCGAAATCTCGATGGATGTAACGCCAGCCATGCCCATCTGCGATTGCGTCTGGGCGTACTGTTCCTTGATGGCGATGAGGGCATCTTTTGCTGCCTGAATCTGTGCCTCGAGGATCTGGTCGTCCTTCTTGAATTCCTCTGTTGACTGGGTCCATCTTGCCACTGCGTCTGTAACAAAGTTTCTCCATTTGCTGTGGAGCTGCAGCCTTGCGCCTTGAGCTTCTGTCAGGGCGTTCTGGGCCTTCTCGAGCTTGGTCACAGAGCTGTGGAGGGACTTCGCCGTGGAATGATTGGCCTTCACCGTCAAGGACGTAAGATACGCCTGTGTTTCCGGAGTGAGTTGATCCGGAGACCTGCGCAGCAGCCCAGTCAAAGTTCGGAGCTGCTCTTCCGCTGATGACGATGTCGCAGGGGTTGGAGTGGAATCCGGCACAGATTGCAATCTGGGCAAATTGGAGGACCAAACTGGCTCCTGGGAACGCTTGAAGCCATCGATGTCGTCTGTGGCCGAGGGCTTGGATCCCCTGGGGGCTTTGCGTTGACGACGATTGGACCTCTTTGATTTGCCGTTTTTCGGCCTGGGGCTGTCGGCAGAGGGATGAGCTCCATCTGTACGGTCTGAAGCATCCGTGCGATAAGACCGACTGGAACGATCGGTTCGATTCGAATTGGTGGATCTTGCACTGCTGGCTCTCGGTGGCTTCACTTGTTGTCGCTGATCCCAATGGGGCCAAGAAGTCTGGGACCATTGCCAGTTCTGCGGCACTGGAGCGTATCCCCAATGGCAGGAAGCACATGTGCGGGCGGTCTTCTTGTTGAGGCGTCCACATTGACACTTCCAAGGTTGGAGCTCCATCTTGTCGATGATCTTGGCAAGGTAAAAGGGATCTCGCGAATGATGCTTGGCCAGGGTGAAATAGATCCGTCGCAGCTGTTGTCGGTTGAGTGTGATCCAACCTCGCTTGAACAGGAACCACTGCCGCCGAGCTGATGCTCTCCCACGTCTCTGGGATCGGCGCTGCGAAGGCGTAATGGTGGATGTTCAGGAGGACACCAAAGAGGGCAACAAGGATGTAGCGTAGTGCAGTCCAGGAGGGCATACACAACCACCAGGTGCTCCTCAAGGAGGTGATGCCCGGTCCGGGGCAGAGCACTGCGATCACCAGCTGCCAGCGCTTGCAGAGGCCGCTTAGCACGAAGCGAAGCAGCCCGCGGGTATCGCGCGCACACCCGCTAAGGAACAAGGCTAACCCAAAGGAGGGGGGGTAGTTCTTCCCTCCAATGGGCGCAGAGCCGAGACCTTATAGAAAATCACCATGTTATACCATGTTATGCAATTTTTAATAGGTAAACATGGTAAACCATCTATTTCTATGGGCCATTTTCCAGAGCTATGTTAGTTTGCCCAGACTAATAGTACCTAGTGCGCAGGTAACCATGGATCTATAGCCATTCTAATGTGATAAACCATGGATCTATAGCCATTCTAATGTGATAAACCATGGATCTATAGCCATTCTAATGTGATGAACCATGGATCTATAGCCATTCTAATGTGATAAACAATGGATCTATAGCCATTCTAATGTGATAAACAATGGATCTATAGCCATTCTAATGTGATGAACCATGGATCTATAGCCATTCTAATGTGATGACCATGGATCTATAGCCATTCTAATGTGATGAACCATTGATCTATAGCCGTTCTAATGTGATAAACCATGGATCTATAGCCATTCTAATGTGATGAACCATGGATAGATACTGTAGCCATTCTAATGTGATGAACCATGGATCTATAGCCATTCTAATGTGATGAACCATGGATAGATACTGTAGCCATTCTAATGTGATGAACCATTGATCTATAGCCGTTCTAATGTGATAAACCATGGATCTATAGCCATTCTAATGTGATGAACCATGGATAGATACTGTAGCCATTCTAATGTGATGAACCATGGATATATAGCCATTCTAATGTGATAAACCATGGATCTATAGCCATTCTAATGTGATAAACCATGGATCTATAGCCATTCTAATGTGATGAACCATGGATCTATAGCCGTTCTAATGTGATAAACCATGGATCTATAGCCATTCTAATGTGATAAACCATGGATCTATAGCCATTTTGATGTGATGAACCATGGATCTATAGCCATTCTAATGTGATGAACCATGGATCTATAGCCATTCTAATTGGATGAACCATGGATCTATAGCCATTCTAATGTGATGAACCATGGATCTATAGCCGTTCTAATGTGACGAACCATGGATCTGCCATCCTAATGTGATGAACCGTGGATCAGCCATTCTATGCCATTCGAATGTGATGAACCATGGATCTATAGCCATTCTAATGTGATAAACGACGGATTTTAGGGTACCTCATTTTTTTTGCTGAAACGTTTTGCAGATCGAATGTTCCCAGGCGCGGGACTTGGTGGTTGAAGAGAAGGTGCACTTCAAGAAGTTCAAAGACGCACAGGTCCAGGCGTGCGCGGTTAACACGCCGCCGTTTTTTTTGATTTGGTTGGAGCAGCAAGAAACAGACATGTTTGCTCCGGCAAATCAAAGATGGCAAATGAACCTCTCCTAGAATTACATGACTGGTTGGTGGTTTGGAACATGAATTTAATTTTCCATTTCATATATGGGATAATCCTTCCCATTGACTGATATTTTTCAAGATGGTTAAAGCCACCAACCAGTATTACATGAAGGTTTTGATTGGAACATCAACCATAAATGAAGGATTTTCCATTGCCATGTTTGATTTTTATAGAGGGTAGCTATGCTGTGGATGGCCCAGTTAGTTTGACTAGTTACCCTCTGGTAAACTAACATAGCTATTGAAAATGGCCCATTGATTTCGTGGTTTTTCCCATGAAAAATGGTAATTTTCCATTGAAAAATGTTAGTTCACCAGAGGGTACCTATTACTTTCTTGGTGATTTTGCAGCTATGTAAGATTCGCAGAATGTAAGGCTCAATTCGCTGGTTTTTTGTTGGAGAGATTGGAGGGAACATGACGCTGGTCTGGATCGAAGCCGTAGAAATGATACGGTTTTTCTTGCGTTGCGATGGGTGGTGAAAACGCCATATGAGCTATGGTCAATACTCATGGTTAATAACCATTAAAAACGGGGCTAGTCATCCAATGGTTCATAGGGAATGACCATCAACCATTTTTAGTGAATATTGACCATGGCTCATATCTTGATGGCTAAAATAATCAGGTTGGGGGATCTAAAGTTCATCGGATCCCCCTAGCGAATATTCCTTCACCCTGGATGAGCATTGGATTGTTTGAGGATTTTGCAAAAGAAAGGAATTTGATATGATACTTATCCCATCAGATTCTTGAATCGCTACTGTTGGTTATGTAATCCGTACTGTTGGTTATACATTTAATCAATGTTAATCCCATTCTTCGTAGTCATTATTCCTACGAACAATCACTGCGATTACTTATTGCTATTAATCTATATAGGACTATTAATACCATTATTAGTAATCACTATTGCTAAGAAGAATCACCATTATAATTATTACTACTATTCCTACTATTACTATGAAACTAGAGGGGTTTCACTATTACCACCATTAGATTAATTATTATCACCATTAATAGCAATAATCCCCATTAATGCATTATCACTCTTGTTTCCTTTGCTTCTATTACTGTCATTATTGCAAGAATCCCCACCCCACCCCTGCATGCTATGAAACCCTACGAAACCATCACTAAGTCTCATTCATTCCCATGAAATCAGCATTTCCCATCGTTTATTCCCATGAAACCAACATTTTTCCATAGTTAAATCCCATGAAATCCCATTAATTGAATAAAGCATGGTAGTTAAATGCATTCGTTAATCATTATCATTGTTAATCCCATTTGAATCCCTATTGTTAATCATTATCATTGTCACTGTTAATCTTTTGCATCCCATTTGTTACTTATCCCATAACTTTTTGTTTAATCCCTATTGTTGCTTAATCCCATTCATTATCATTATTACTGTTAATCTCAATCAATATTTGAACAATTTCCACTAACTGTTATCAGTTTCAGGTATGTTAGTTTCAGGTCCTCTTCTTGTCAGTGTTGAAACCATTGTTTCCCATTACCATTAGATTGTTTAACCCCTATGGTCGTTTAATCCCTATTACCCTCTGGTAAACTAACATAGCTACTAAAAATCACAATTTTATAGCTGGCTAAATCAACTATTTCTATGGGCCATTTTCCAGTTAGCTATTTTGACATAACCAGAGGGTATCAATCCCATTAAACCCACCATATTTGGTGAGTAAAACCCACCAGATGTTAGTTATAACCAGAGGGTACGATTGATAACTGGTGATTTACTGTTGATTTTCCATGGTAAATCAACTATTTCTATGGGCCATTTTCAATAGCTATGTTAGTTTACCAGTATTTCTATGAGCCATTTTCCAGTTAGCTATTTTGACATAACCAGAGGGTATTATTGATGCCCAAAAATCCCAAAAATCACCACCTCATCCCAGGGTCCCAGCGGACCAGGAGCGCGAGCCGGTGAAGCCGCCTCCCTTCGCCCTGGCGGCCCCCGCCGTGCACTTCGACGCGGACCACCGGCCGCGCTACGTTGCCCGAACGGAAAACGGAACGGAAAGCGGGGGCTAGGTCGAATTTTTCGGGCCCAACAAAAGGGGATGGGATGATTTTAGATATTTTAGATGGGAATTATGTTTCTTTTTTGAACTTTAAATGATGTTTTATGGGATTTAATGGAACTTCAATGGGACTTTTTAATGGGATTTGATGGTATTTCGATGGGAATTGATGAGATCAGTAGTGATTTAATGTATTTAATTCTAATGGTAACTTCATGGGATTTCAAAAGGATTTGAAAGGTGACCCGCAAAAAAACTGGTACTGCGATTCGATGGGAAGCAACAAGAATCGGGGAAACCCACCATCTGATGGATGGTGATATTATGATATTGAACATGTGTCTGAAAATGGAACCTCCAAAGAAGCATTTAAACAGATACCTGTCTTTTTTTGGGTGTTTCGGTATTAGAATTTGTTGTAGATAATGTTTTGACTTGAGGATGAGTTGGGGTTGTTTCCCAATTTCTTTTGACTAACACCAGCCAAATTTTCAAAAAAACACATGCTAATGGAACATATGATGATTCATTGTGGGATTTTGCTGTGTATAACAAGAAAAACATGTTGGCAAAACGTGCCATGATTCTAAGTCAACCTTGGCGAAGGGTTCATATTGGGGGAAGTGATTTGCAGATGAACCGCAAAAAAAATGCGTATGTAAACACCCAACAAGTGATCTCAAAATTTCTAGGCACTAGTAGGAAGTTGCCACTTCCCAGATGGATTCAGCCCCACTGTTTTGAAGCGTCACTAAAATCTCTGGTTGAGAATTACAGGTGAAGGGTTATTCAATCTATCAATGGATTGGTTTAATCTATATTTCATGGGAAAATCTATGGTTTCCTGTAGATTTTCCCGACTAAAACCAATCCATTGAATCGAACGGTTGGCACCAGGGTGTCATCGATTCAGTGATTCCATTAGAAAAAGTCTTTGTTGATGACCGATGACCTATTTTCTGCAGTTTTCTTATTTTGCAACAGTTGGATGTGGGTCAAAATGGAAGACCTAGGGAACCACAGATGTTAGTCTAGTTTAGTATTAATAACCATCCATAATTTTGGGGTACCTAATTTTGACCCATACCCAGTTGTTGTTCTTTCTTTAGCCTAAACATGGGATGATTGATGATCTCAAGTCCAAATTCTGACTCCCCAAGGCTACGACCAAGATGACACCAGATGAGCTGGAAGAAAGGCGGGGCAACTTGGTCACTGGGTAACCCCTGGGGATGATGAGGAGGTAAAAAGAGTTGCATCGATGGTCTTTTTTTTTTTCCTGATATCGATCTATCACTGTATAGATATGGAATCTGATATCTATATCTGTACATATATTATAATATATAGTGTATAATATATATATATATCACTGATATCTGTCTATATTCCATATATATATATATATTTATCTATCTGATATCTGGTAGATATGGACTGTATAGTAGTCACTTTCAAAGGAGGTCTTCGAGTCTGAAGATTCTTTGAGGACACCAGGAAGAGGCCAAAATCACAGCTGCTTCGCATGGTTCCCACTGGCCAAATGGTGCCATCGTTGCTTCATGTTGAGCTGAACATTTTTGTCTGCCACAATTTGCTTGGAGGAACACTTGCAACAACGCCGTTTTTTTTTGGGGGGAATGACACAAAATCAGGCTTCCTCTAGAAAATTCCTCAAAATCATGAATCCATTGAGTCCTGGAGGTCTCTTAGAATTCGGGCACCCCTGGCCATCACTTGGATGATCATTTGGAGGATCATCCCACTGAGCAGGTCATTTTGACCCTGATGATCTTAAGTTTCCAATAAGCGAGTTAGCCCCATACTATATTAATATATACTGTATATATATATATAACATATACACATTCTGTATGTATATATATATATATTTATATTTATATTTATATATATATACATACATAAATATAAATATAAATATAAATATATATATACATACATATATTATATTATGCATATATATATATATATTACGTGTCAATACATTGAGTCTAACTATGGTTTCTAACCAGTGACTTTCTCCCTGAATGGGCCAGGCCCATGAACGCGAAAGGGCTGGGCAAGGGTGACATGTTCTGAGCGTCCCGAACTGTTCGACTGATGTTTTCAGAGGCACTGGTTTCTCATGGTGAGCTTTCTCCATGGGTTTGGTAGAAGAATAGATGGGGTCATGTAAAAAAAAAAATAGCCCTTTTCTGGATCTACTTTTCATGGGATATAGAACCAAACATGATATTTGGGTATGGTTTTTTGATAGGGCATAAACCTCCAATTCATGGCCATATTCATATGTAACAGGGATCCAAGAACTCCCTATGCGGCCCTTTGAGCTGGATTCGGTTGATAGGCACATGTCTCAATTCTTTTCTGCAAAGGGTAAGACTTCGCTTGCGGTCAGACCCTGCGTTTTTTTCTTCGGTTCAATGGCAGAACCCACGGGTATATATCGGTTGCTGAACGAGTTTGCCCAGTCAAATTGGAATTCTTAGTCTCCATCACTGGCCTCAGAAACATCATGACTCATGAGTGACCGCTCTGAAAATGTCGTGCTCGAAAAGAGCTGAAGGGATCGGGCAGGTGTTTAAGCGGTTGTTTGGAATTCTAGCCAATATTGAGCGTTGCAGCGAAAGACTTGCAACAGGGGTCTCCCTCTCATTTTTCTAAATTTATCTTTTTGATCTAGGCACCCTTTTTAGGTGGCAAATTTTAGTGCGATTTTGATTAATTTGTATAATTTATCAGGTATGCATTACATGATCCAAATTTTGATTGATTTGTGGGCAATGCAATTTGTATTGTGTCGCCTCGGCCGCAGGCATCTATACATGAAAGTAGCTACGCACTTGATGAAAAAGACTGTCCAAAGGTCCAGATCTTGCCCTTAACCTGCTGTCTAGACAATGCAAACATGTATATAAACACATGCTAAGGTGGTGTATTCATTCAAAAAAACATGAAACTGATGAAACAATTTAATTTGCGCCTCAATGATTATGTGGAACCATCGTCCTTGTGTGTAAATGTGTAAGAAAACCAATGAAGATTCACCAAATGGGTTCTTACACATTTACACATTTACACACATTACATTGGGTTCATGTAATAAAACCAATGACATTTCTTGGGTTCTCCCAGTGACGGAGCGACTCCGTTTCTTGGCCATGGCTTTGCCCTCCTTTGGCGCTGCCGATGGCGAAGCTGAGGTCTCTGCAGAGGCGACGACAATGGTGAAACCAATGGTGAAACGGGTGGTCCCAGGTATACCGGTAGAGCGAGTATACGGCAACCCAAAAAATCGAAAACTACAGATTCTATATTCTATACTAAAATATGGTCATTAAAAAAGAATAAAAAAGATAACTTATACTTATCAGTGATAAGTTGTTTTTTTTGGAGGGGGGGTCGTTATATCATGTTATTTTTTATTTCTCGGGAAAAGGACCTAGGGCCGGCGGAAGCGACCCGGCGCCAAAAACGTTGGATGTGGATGGGTCGAGTTCCCATCCCTATTTTCCAATGGTAAAATTGGGATTGACATCCCAAATTATTGCTGGTTGAGTTCCGTCAATATCCATGACAAACATTGTATATATTGATATGCCACTAATAACCGTCAAAGAACCATTAATAACCATTAAACACCCATTCATGACAATGAATAAACATGCAGGAACATTAGCATTCATTAACAGCCATTAAAAATCATGAATAACAATGAATTTCCATTAATGACCATTAATGACCATGAATAACCATGAATCAATGACCATCACTAGCCATTCCCACGAATTTCTCTTCCCCTGTCACTGATTTCCAGCCCGGCAGGTCTTCGAACCTTTGTCGCCTCTGGCACTCCAGGCCAGTTTGATCCAGATTCGGTCCTCAAAATGCCTTTGGAAAATACTGATATTGGACTGGAACAGTTTCTCCTAATACTGTTGAAAAAAGTTTGTCAAGTAGTACTTCAGATGAAAAAACAAAATTCGAAAAAGATGCCTCAATTGGAGCTTCATGCTATGAATCACAAGTGGTTGATAAGATTTAATAAGATTTAATAAGCATAGTTATAGATTAACCATTGATGGTGATAGATGGTTATATAATGGAAAAATTAATCCCATAGATGGTTATTTTTTATGGGATTAGATTTCCATGAAAAATAACCATCTTGGGACTTTTTTTTTTCCATTCAATAGAATGGGCTAGCGCCCGGGTGCCGCCGACCCCCCCTATTTGGGGGGTCCTGCAGAGAGAGGGAGAGAGATAGATGGATGGATGGGTGGATGGATGGATGGATGGATAGATAGGTAGAGAGATAGAGAGAGAGAGAGATAGACGGATAGATAGATAGACAGTTGGATAGACAGATAAGTAGATGGAGAGATAGATGGATAGATAGCTGGATGGATAGATAGATAGATGGATAGATGGCAATGCATGGCCTGCACGGCGTGGAAACAGGAAGATGCATTCAAGACAGAACATGCAAGGCCACAAGCCACATTTTATCGTATTTGTAAGACGTGCGAACAGACACAAGTGTGTAGTGTTTGCAATACGCGCAAGGACGAAAAGAAATTTTCTGGCGGGGCCTGGAAACGAGCACGCAGGGGCGGTAGAGTGTGTTTAGATTGTTCGGGTAAAGCATGGGGCTGGTGGAGATGCAGCGTCTGCAAGGTAAAGCAAGCAGCGTGCGCTTTTGAATCCTGGCTGGCGCAACATCGTTCTTGTAATGGTGACCAAGTCTGTAGCAACTGCTGGCAGTGCCCCATTCCCCGGGGAAGCATCAGCAAAGCAGTACAGCGGGTAGCGGCAACGCAGGCGAAAGTCGCGCGGAGGGCAGCGGAAGAAACAAAGGCACGCGCCATCGCCGATGTCTGGGCTGCCATCGCGGAAAGAAAACGGAAAAGAGAAGAGGAGGGCACGCGAACGCACGAGACAAAGCCGGAGGCAAAACAACGGAGAGAAGACGAAAGGGCAGAAATGACCAGCGCGAATGCCGAGGATGCCAGCACAGAACAAAAACGGAGAAGAGAAGTGGAGGAGGCCAGAACACAAGAAGGAGAACCAAAAGAAAAACAACGCAAAGACGAGACAGGAAAGGCCGAAGAAAAGCAGAGAGCCTTGCAAGCAGGTAAAAGGCAGGAAGGCAGCAAGCCCAGCAAGGAGGAGACTTTGCCGGCAAAGAAACGACAAGCAACGCAGAGGGGACAGAGTTTCAAATATGTCTGTCCTGCTTGCGCGCAGTCAGTGATCAGCAGAATATGCACAGGGGAAGTAGATCATCGGCGAACCTGCGGGAAGCGATTCCGAGTGAAAGACGGTGTTGTGGCAGAGGAATCTGTTGTTTACAAATGCCCATTCTGCAGTGGCCTTGTGAACAGCAATGTGAAGACAGGGCAAATCGACCACCGGGGTGTCTGTGGGCATAAATTTTCGGTAAAGGACGGCGTTGTCGCAGGAAAAAGTTTTGCTTACCAGTGCCCATTTTGCAGTGGACTTGTGAACAGCAATGTGGAGACAGGGCAAATCAACCATCGATCTGTGTGCAACAATCAATTTTATGTCAAGGACGGTGCAGTCAGCAAGCAGACACGGCGTCATGCGCACAGTTGCCCCGTCTGCTCCACTGTTGTTTGGTCATCGCTGTCACGTGGCCGCATTGCTGTCAAGCATGACATGCCATCGGGAAAACCATGTCACAACAAGCAATGGCACGTTCCCGAGAAAAAGACAACGAAAACAAAAAAGAAATGAAAGCCATTGGGCTGTCGAGCACCAACTGCATGGAGGCTGCCTGCACGCAGGCGTGTGCAAGTGTTGCAGGCGCGCAGACGGCGCCTGGAACCCAATGCCACGGCCTGAAGGACTTGTCGAAGCTGCAGGATGGGTCTGCCGCGGCCCGAGTGGCGCGTGGGAGTTGCAGGGAAGCGTTAGGGGAGTTTTGAGGACTTTGGGCGTTTGGAAGGCTCCAAAACGCAGGCTTGAACCTCCATAAAAAGACAATGTCGCAGCTGGCAAACGGCATGGGAGCTGCAGAGAAGCGTTTGGGAGTTTTGCGGCTGGCAAACGGCACGCTGGAACCCCCAGACAAGGACAATGCCGGGGCTGGCAAACGGCATGGGAGCTGCAGGGAAGCATTTGCGGGGTTTTGCGGGCTGGCAAACGGCAGGCTTGAACCACCCTAAAAGGACAATGCCGGGGCTGGCAAACGGCATGGGAGCTGCAGGGAAGCATTTGGTGGGTTTTGCGGGCGGGTAAACGGCAGGCTTGAACCACCATAAAAGGACAATGCCGGGGCTGGCAAACGGCATGGGAGCTGCAGGGAAGCATTTGGGGGTTTTGCGGGCTGGCAGACGGCAGGCTTGAACCACCATAAAAGGACAATGCCGGGGCTGGCAAACGGCATGGGAGCTGCAGGGAAGCATTTGGGGGGTTTTGCGGGCGGGCAAACGGCAGGCTTGAACCACCATAAAAGGACAATGCCGGGGCTGGCAAACGGCATGGGAGCTGCAGGGAAGCATTTGGGGGGTTTTGCGGGCTGGCAAACGGCAGGCTTGAACCACCATAAAAGGACAATGCCGGGGCTGGCAAACGGCATGGGAGCTGCAGGGAAGCATTTGGGGGGTTTTGCGGGCGGGCAAACGGCAGGCTTGAACCACCATAAAAGGACAATGCCGGGGCTGGCAAACGGCATGGGAGCTGCAGGGAAGCATTTGGGGAGTTTTGCGGGCTGGCAAACGGCAGGCTTGAACCACCATAAAAGGACAATGCCGGGGCTGGCAAACGGCATGGGAGCTGCAGGGAAGCATTTGGGGGGTTTTGCGGGCGGGCAAACGGCAGGCTTGAACCACCATAAAAGGACAATGCCGGGGCTGGCAAACGGCATGGGAGCTGCAGGGAAGCATTTGGGGGGTTTTGCGGGCTGGCAAACGGCAGGCTTGAACCACCATAAAAGGACAATGCCGGGGCTGGCAAACGGCATGGGAGCTGCAGGGAAGCATTTGGGGGGTTTTGCGGGCGGGCAAACGGCAGGCTTGAACCACCATAAAAGGACAATGCCGGGGCTGGCAAACGGCATGGGAGCTGCAGGGAAGCATTTGGGGGGTTTTGCGGGCTGGCAAACGGCAGGCTTGAACCACCATAAAAGGACAATGCCGGGGCTGGCAAACGGCATGGGAGCTGGGGAAACGGCAGGCTTGAACCACCATAAAAGGACAATTCCGGGGCTGGCAAACGGCATGGGAGCTGCAGGGAAGCATTTGGGGCTTTTTGCGGGCTGGCAAACGGCAGGCTTGAACCACCATAAAAGGACAATGCCGGGGCTGGCAAACGGCATGGGAGCTGCAGGGAAGCATTTGGGGGGTTTAGGCTTGAACCACCATAAAAGGACAATGCCGGAGCTGGCAAACGGCATGGGGGCTGCAGGGAAGCATTTGGGGGGTTTTGCGGGCTGGCAAACGGCAGGCTTGAACTCCCTGAAAAACAGATGGCAGGGGCATGTAGCTGTAAGAGTTGTTGCCTTGGAGGCCTGCGGAAGGCGTTTGGAGGGTTTCAGGCCGGTCAAACGGCAGTCTTGAACTCCCTGAAAAACAGATGGCAGGGGCATGTAGCTGTAAGAGTTGTTGCCTTGGAGGCCTGCGGAAGCGTTTGGAGGGTTTCAGGCCGGTCAAACGGCAGTCTTGAACTCCCTGAAAAACAGATGGCAGGGGCATGTAGCTGTAAGAGTTGTTGCCTTGGAGGCCTGCGGAAGCGTTTGGAGGGTTTCAGGCCGGTCAAACGGCAGTCTTGAACTCCCTGAAAAACAGATGGCAGGGGCATGTAGCTGTAAGAGTTGTTGCCTTGGAGGCCTGCGGAAGCGTTTGGGGGGTTTGAGGCCGGGCAAACGGCAGTCTTGAACCCCCTGAAAAACAGATGGCAGGGGCATGTAGGTGTAAGAGTTCGGCAGGAGCATGTAGATGGCTGGGGCATGTAGCTGGCAGAGGTGTTGCCTTGATGGCGTGTGCCTTTGCTTGCGACCCGAGAGCCAAGTTCCACACCTCCGGTGGTCCCAGGCGCCGCCCCTGCCTTGGCAAAGGCCGGGGTCGGCGGATAACCATAGATGGAACCACTATGGGATTAAATAACCATTCAATAACCATTCAACATCAATCACCATCAATTTTTCCATTCAATAACCATTACTATCACCACATTTCATGGTTATAATCCCCCTGGGACTTCCCGGGCCGAAGCCAGCGCTTTGATAAATTTTGACAGCCGAGGCCGTGGAGGATGACGATGAGTTGCTTCCTGGCCCTGAGGAGAAAAGGGGGTCATCCTTTAAAGCCCCAAGAAGATGGACACTCATATGGTTAATAAATGTTAATAATGGTTATTAATGGTTAATAATGGTTAACTGATGGGCATTTTATTTATAGATACCCTCTGGTTATTAAGAACGTACTAAGTTACTAAAACCAGTGGCCTGCCACTGTACAAAAGGGTCTTGAAAAAACACCACTCTTACTGAATCGGAATATATTATGAATACAATCTGGTTAATAATGGTTATTAATGGTTAATAATGGTTAATAATGGATAATATATTATGAATAGCCTCTGGTTATGACAAACAGTTTGCCATGGAAAGATCCACCTATTAATAGGTAAACCATCTATTTCTATGGGCCATCTATACCATGGCTATGTTAAATAACCAAACGGTAAGTCTGGATCACTATAACTTTGAGATGGATTTGTTTTGTTTGAATCCTTGCTAAATTCAGGGTTGCCAAATTATAGGGCTATAGGTATAGTTGATTTGCTGATCCTTTAAATGGGGATATGACATGATATGACCATTGTAGGTTTCATTACTCCTATTTATTTAAAGGCCCTACTGTATTTATGGGGATAGCAACGGGTGGTACTGAACTCAATACGGGATGGTCATGGTCCGTAATAGAGATCATTATATACCACTGTTGGTCGCCCAAACCCTACAAAACATATACAGTATCCCACATAAATTGTGAGTTTCCCCTCTTATTTGTTGTTTAAACTCCACTGAAAATAGCAATGGTTCAGCTATATCCCATTACATCCGTATTATATCCCCATAAACATGTTTATTTTCATGTGTCTTGGTGAGCTTCCCCATGTTCGCCAGCAATGTTTCGCAGGACGATGTGGAAGGGCAGGTGGAATGTTTCTTGGAGACCTTGCCCACGAGCGATGCCCATGAGGCCATATGAGGGGAGAAATTGAGCCATGGAGCCATTGGTTACCATCTGATATGGGAACATACCCTCTGGTTATTTAACATAGCCATGGTATAGATGGCCCATAGAAATAGATGGTTTACCGTTCTTAAACATGGTGATTTTCCATGGCGAACTGTTAAATAGCCAGATGGTAATAGTTAGCCTCTGGTAAACATTTACATAACTATGGAAAGATCCACCCATTTTTAATGGGTAAATCCACTATAAATCACCATTTTCAACAGCTATGTTAAATTACCAGAGGGTAACAATATCAGATGAGTTCCATATCAGTTGATACTATCAATGGGAACATATTTTTTTGTATGTTATCAACTGATAGTAATGGTTTTCATACTGGCTAATAATAGTTGACAATGGACCAATGACCAACAATAATGGATGAATAATGGATAGTTGGAATAGCAGCCTCTGGTTAATATGGGTTAGTACTGGTTAATGCTGGTTGATAAGGATGGATAATAATGGTGTATCATGGTTACCCTCTGGTAATGTGTTACATAGCGACATAGAAAATGGCCATAGAAATAGTTGATTTACCGAACTTAGACATGGTGTCAGTTTACCAGAGGGTATACCCTAGTTGATTGGTTATAATTTATACTACCAGGGTTATTGATAGTTATATATTGAAGACGATGAACTAAATTATGGAAGGGAACCTATCAATTAGCATAATGAGATAGGATAAGGGTAATTTTATTGGCTCGATTGACAGGAGTTCAACGCAGGGTTCGGAACCGAAACAGAGGGGATTTCATCAACGGACCTTGGGGTTTTCAGAAAAGAACAGTGGCATTATTATCCATCCTTATCAACCAGCATTAACCAGTACTAACCCATATTAACCAGAGGCTGCTATTCCAACTATCCATTATTCATCCATTATTGTTGGCTAATCCAAAGCCATGTTGTAGCGAAGATGGGAATGGCCCCACCGCCAAGCGAGCCACAAATATCGACTGGCAACTGACTTGTTGCACTCCCAGAGCTTTGGACGTTTTTGTTTTTTTAATATTTTATTTTGAGATGGGGTTCCATCACCATCTCAACTTTTTTTGGGTGAGAGTTGATTCCGCTTGCCCTGATGCTTCACACTCGATCCAACTTTGACCCACAGCAACATTGTTCTGGGTGATGGTAGAACAACCTCAACGATGCAAGGATGTCATTATACAATATTATACAGAAATAATGGTTTATACATGGAGAAAGCACCCAGAATGAGCTTTGGCCGCAGAAATATGGCAAATAATCCAAGCTTGGTAATACAGTTCCATCAGAAGCATCCAAAGTTAGAAAAGCATCCAACACTACAAATATGGCAAACCCAACAAACCTGCATCATTTACATCCGTCTACCTTATTTTTACCCAACATGTTGCATCATTTTGCCACTTCGGGGGGTACTTTTTTTTCTCAGTGACACAACTGAGATGCAAACATTGACTTCAAATTGCCACATGTTTACCCAATTTTTCGCCATGGTCGACGATTCGGGCCCCATCAACTCCAGGTGGTTCATAGCCTCCTTGAAAGTGACACGCCCGAGAGCAAGGGCATTGTGGAGCTACAGGTCTCGGTCAATGGGTGGTACCCCAATTTATGGCCTTTTGAGCCGGGAAACTGATGGGATTTTATTTATAGATACCCTCTGGTTATTTAACATAGCCATGGAAAATGGCCCATTTATTAAATTTATTGATGGTTTACCGTTCTTAAAAATGGGTGGATCTTTCCATGGCGAACTGTCAAATAACCAGATGGTATTCATAATATATTCCGATTCAGTAAGAGTAGTGAATTAAAGACCCTTTTGCACAGTGGCAGCTTGGTTTTAGTAACTTAGTACGTTTTTTTCTTCCAAAACGGAGATGTCATGTGGATAATAGTACGTAACTGACCATATAAGATGGGTGGTCTGCAATTGAATTTGCCCAAGTAAATTTGCAATTTGGATTGTGAAAAGAATGATCTAAACAATCGGAGTTTGGGTTGCCCTATTTTGTGACAATGGAAATGGTTCTAAAAAACAGTCATAGCAACTCAGGACAATCGTCTAGCAGCTAGCAAAAATCGGACGAAAACACCTCCAAGAAGCCTCAAACCCTTTTGATTCAAAAGTGACCAACATTGGACGATTTCTGGTCCCAACAACATTCACTGCACCTGGTGGAACACTGACCTTGGTGGAATCGCAAAACCTTGCGAGGCAAAAACGCCACTACTGACTTGGTTGTTCTTGGATGGGTTGAAGCGACCAGCTCCATGATAGTTGGCTACACAGCGTGTCAATCATGTACCCGTGAAGTATTATTTTAGTCTTGTTTAAACCAACGCTGGCTGCGTTGGATGTTGAGTTTTACTTGCTCTATCTGGGATTTTTAGGGATTCTCCATACTACTATATAGTCTACACAGAAATTGAATGGCCAATTGGTTTCATACCGCCCTGTTTCTTATTCCAATTATATCCCATTTTTTAAATTCCAATTTCTGGACAATTCATCGTGAATGACCGTCCCCCACTCTCCTGGGTATGGTGAAACCGTTCCCAACAGATACGCCCATTTTCATTGCGGGTTGCTTTACCATGGATTTCCCCTCATTTTTGGACACGCCAACATATAGTACTGTATGATATAGGTCATATAATGGCATATAATATATATTTATCCCCAACGATTGTTGGATTCTATTTCTGAGCGCCATGTTATTTTGGGAACACACTGAACACACCCAATATTTATGGAACCCCCCTTTCATGAGGTTTCCCAAAATGAGGCTACCCCCAAATCATCCAAGTCAATAGTCCGTTTTAGTATTGAAACCTATGGTGACGACTGGGGATCCACCATTTTAGGAAACCCCCATTGACGTGGATTTGCTGAAGATGATTTGGCTTATTTTCTCCATGAGAAATCCACTACGACTGGGGAATCTATAGGGAACATCTTTTTTTGGTGGTTCCTCAAGCAAATCCATGTATATAGATATATATATATATATATACATAATATATATATATATATATTATATCCGTAAATATAAATATAAAAATATTTAAATACACATTATATATATATACTGATTGGTGGTTTGGAACATTTTTTTATTTTCCATCATATATGGGTTAATCCTTCCCATTGACGAACTCATATTTTTCAAGATGGTTCAAACCACCAACAAGTATATATAATAATAATAATAACAATAATAATAATAATATTCTCACCATGAATCACCCTTTTTTCCAGCGAAATTCAGGTGGACGATCGCAGCGAACGCATCGAGGAATCCTGTGAGTTCCTCCTGCGACTCCTGGAGCGCCTGGGTTTTGGTCGATATCCGGTGAGTTCCCCCGGGGAACTTGGACATTTTAGCAGCCTTTCCAAGGGAAAAACCACCATTTTGGGGGGATTTCCATGGAATTTTAAGCAACAAACATGGGGATTTCGATTCTTAACCAGAAACATATGGGGGTTGAAGGGGATTTCAGGCACCAAAATTGTGACCAAACATGGGATTTTTCAGACACATTTCAGGCAGGTGATTTTTCATGGAACTGTCCGAAGAAACCAGCACGGTGATTTGCCAGCGTCCTCAAAACAAAAAAAGGGTAGGTACCAATAAACGCTAAGAACCATAGAGGATTCAATGCAACGTACCCAACAAGAGTGGAGGTTGAATGGGATTTGACCGACAAACATGGTGACTTGAGTGGGAAAACCTTGGGTGAAGGATGTAGGCTTTTGAAGGGACATTTCGTCATAGAAACAGGGGAATTTCGCCATAGAATCAGAATGGTCTAGCCATGAAAAGTGATGTTCTTTTCAAGTTGACAAATAATGAGACTTTGACATCTGGGGGTGAATTCTTGATTTGCCAATGAAAATTTGGTGTGGGCCTCTGTTGGCCATCAAAAGTGGCCAACAGAAATGGTAAATCCTGGGACCAGTTCATCTCTGACTTCACAGCTGAAAATCATCGGTTTTGATGGGTTTCCCTGAGCTCAGGACCCAGCCTCCTACAATATCTCCAGCCCCTTAGAGCCTTAGATGATATGTGCACATCTATACACAAACATCGCAAAATACAGAGTATTGAATAACATTACATAGCATCACATAACACGACATCACACAGCATGTGTTTTTAGACACACAAACACACAGACATACATCACATCACATTCCATCCCATCAGATAAGATCAGATCAGATCACATCATCCAACACTGAACATACACATGCACATAACTATGTAATATAACTATATATATATAGATATTTAATGCACTATATTCACATCTAATATTCTATGATCAGATTCTTTACATTCTTTACACCTGATATTCACGGTCAAAAATCCATCGGACCGTACGGTCCCGTCCCAGGTTCTGCCCCTCTGTGGAGAAGAGACAACACGTCCTGGAGACATGGCTCCGACGCAATCCGCGGGAAAACCATCCGCGCAAAGGCGCGCTGCGGGTCGTTCTCGGATCGGATCCACTGGGGCATCAAAATGGGCAGGTGGAAAAGGCACTATCACTTGATATATATGTATATGTTGATATATGTATATGTATAGGTGTATATGTATATTTTCTATTGTAAGTGTAGATATGTGTGAATACAAGATATTGTAAGTGTGTTGAAACCCGCGTCATTTGTAGTTTGCTGTTGAGAAAGGTAAATGTTTTTTTTTAGTTTATTTACTGCGTTCATATTCAATTAAGACATGGAAGGCCGCCAACGTACCTGTTGGTCCACGCGGTTGCTGGTTCCATCTTGAGCAAAGAAAACGGCAGATGTTGCGAAGTGCCCCCACAGTGGAATGGAATCCAATAAAGTCTGAGGTCTCTGGTTATATATAACATCGCCATGGGAAATGGCCCATTTATAGATGGTTTACCTATTAAACATGGTGATTTTCCATGGCTATGTTAAATAACCAGATGGTATATAGAAATGCTACATGCGACTAGTGGTAAATTGGTTCGCACAGTGTTCTTGTATTCACCCAGTGTTCTTGTATTCACCAAGGCTTTCTAGCATTGTTCTTCCATTTTTTCATCTTCAAAGATTCTGTTCCGCTTGAGTATCAGTTTCAATGGTCCAGTCACTGTTGTTGATTTCCCACATGGTCCAATTGCTGACCAGGCATTTACATCACATTTACGTCACATGGTGAAAAGTGGCTAAGTGGCTGCCATCATTGGGGAGGAGATGGGGTCCAACACTTTGGGTGATACTACCCAGACTACCCAATACTTGAGGACTAACCAATACCTGGGGGGATGAGGGAAAAAAAAAAACTGGGAGTCGGGGAGTCTTGTTCTACCAGGATTTCATGGCATGCCATTTTCATGAAACGCCACCTCGGTGAGGGAAGAAGAGCCTTTCTCCTGCGACTTCGTCCGACTTCTTGGAACTTCGCCACGTGGCAAAACATTTCTTTGTCGGTGGAAGGTCCCCTATAGACCTACGTTCGGTGGTGCTAAGTTAGCTAAGTTAGCTAAGGGGGTTGAAATTAAGTAAATCAAAACAATTAGATTTGTGGTAGTTTTGTCATTGAACTAGTTAATTTTTATGGATGTTAATGGGGTTTTCTAAGCAACAAACACTTCACTGGGGGGCACCACCTTATACTGTTGTGATCCCTACAGTCAGTGAACGCTTAGAAGACTGGAACATCTTCCCAAGATGTCCTAGTTGGTTGAAACATGTTGAAACGACACTTGAGATTTGGATTACATACTGTGTATTTACATTGAGGCTGAAGACACCATAGCAATTTGGTGGTGGATGGTGGTTTTCTTTTGGTTGTGAAAGCATCCCTTTACAATTCCGCCAAGTATATATTTTGGGAGGAAATCCGGTGAATTCTGTGAATTCCAATGGGTCAACCCATTCCCGTCAGGTCGAGTACAGCGACTGAATTCCAATGTCATGACCCCGGCCGTGTCCATGCGGGCGGAGTCTCCAGGTAGAAGGTGTTTTGGCCGTGAGCCAGGAGAGGTCGTCTTGGTGGCTGTTGAAGCACAGCAATTTGGGATGATGATGATGATGTGGTTGCTAATGGTTAATACTGGTTATTAATGGTTATTAATGGTTAATGATGATGATGATGATGATGATTTTCATACTTGGGATGGAGCTCCCCAAGTTCATTGCAAGTGCCACGGATCAAGCTTTTCAACACTTTGAACTTGGCCTGGTACCCCTCGTAGGAGAGCAGCTGTTTACCTTGCACGAGTTTGCTCCAGTGCAAGAGGTAGGGACTGTCGGCGGACAAGTGTTGGATCATCCTAAAGATCAGAACACACACACACACACCATTCATGATGCTGGCATATTTGGAAACATTTAGGAGATTTTGGAAGTGACTGCCATGGACATTGACCACACATCCAGTTGGTATGAGAACCGTGAGGCCTTTCGGTCATATGACAAGCAATGCCCTGGTAGCATTGAATCTTGGACAGCACAATGACGCTGTAAGAACTCAACCACGCATGTGGGACATTTGTGTTCATATTATTCACGTCGCTTCGCGACGGCAACCGCCCGCACCGCATCGTTGGGCAGCCGCTCGTAACTGCCAATGATGTCGGCCATTGAGACCAAAAACATCCGAAAGTACTGATTGTCGGAAAAAAAAAAACGCGAAGAATTTGATAGCCATGTATAGCGGACCAACGCAGTTCAAAAAATAACGAAAAACATGAAAAAACGGCGAAATTGCTGTTATTTACAGTGTTTTTGCGCGGTGAGAAGCAGAAACCACTGCAAATACCATGGTTTTTGAGGGTCAGGTGGCCAAAAACACTGTAATTTACAGTGTTTTTTTAACCAACGTCAAAAAACACTGGTATTTACGATGTTTTCATTCACACCGTAACATAAAACAGCGTAATTTACGAGGTTTTTGGAAGTTTTGAAGCTAGCCGTCAAGCATGCAGAAAACAGAAAAACACTGTAAAAACCAGTGTTTCTGCTATCACAAAACGACGAAAATCAGTCCGAAAACGGGTCCAAAAACTCAAAAATCCGCCTCCGGGCCCGGCCACCTGCGGAACCGCAAAAAAAGATGTTGCAAACCAAAAAATTGAGGTCAAAAAGTTGAAAAACACGGGTTTTTTTTCACTTTTCGCTTGCCGATTTTGGACGGGCGCGTTCACGAACAGGTGTCTTCCGTACTGTTTTTTACAGTGTTTTTTGAAGGCGAGCGTCACGACCTATCAAAAACAGGAGGTTTTGGCCGAAAAATGCCCCCCCCCCCCCAGGTAAACCTGTAACCTTTTACGAGTGCCATCCGGAAGATCACGCCCCAGCACCTTCGGTGCGGGCGGATTTATGGATAGAGGCCTGACGATCGAATCATCCACAATACTGTGCTTGGAGGAGAGATTTTTTGCCAGACTTGTGCCAAGTGAATCCAATTGATCATTGGATTGGTTAAAGGGACAATTTACAGGAAACCCCCATGATCTTATGGTTTTATGTGAATATATCCCCTTAAATCACATCCATATTTATGTGAATACATCCCCTTGCAACAAAATAATACAAAATATCCAGGAAACGGATGATTTCAGGTTTCCAAATGTGCAAACAAACAATGGATTTCCATACAATAAGCATACCCTAATGGAAAAAAATCAGGTTTCCGGTGAAGATTTTCCCAACGAACCAATCCAATTGCCTATGTTTTGTCACCTCCGACGGTGCTAAGGACACAAAATGTCTCGCCAAGGTGCTGAGAGTTGGGGCGCCCAAAGGGGCGAGTTGGGAACTTGAAGATCAATGCAGCTGAAAACATGTGTAAATAGACAATAATATATATATATATGTGTATAATAATCTAAATACAATGTATAGTATATATTATATGATATTATCTTATATATAATATGTAATATAATATAATATAATTTAATACAATATAATATAGTATAATATAATAATATAATATAGCAGTATAATATAATATAATATAATAAAAAATAGTATAATATAATATAATATAATACAATATAATATAGCAGTATAATATAATATAATATATAAACATTCAGATGTCGTTTCGGGCGGCAGGCGCAAGGGATTGTGCACCTTGTCAAAACTGAGTAAAAGGTGGTGAGGGTATTGTCGCAGTTTCAAAACCGATGGCAGGCGTGGGACATTTGAAGAGGATCTGCAAAGATGCATTTTACGTGGCAGGCGCAGTACAAGAGACATGCTCATCAGAGCTGTTAGGAGGTCCGGGCGCTGATTTCTTGAGAATGGTTGCATTTTGGAGCACCAGATCTTCCGGTTTGCTGAGATGATTTTGCGTGACAGGTGCGGGATTTCGTATGACCTGGCATCACCTTGTCGTGGCAGGCGCAGTCGTTTAGACAGGTGGAATGGAAAAATCGCAAAACGCATTGTTACAAGGCCGTCAGCTCTGCACTCAACTTTCCATTTTTGAAGGAAGTCTCGCAGAATTGAAATTTCCGCCAACCCTTTACAGGCTGTGTGGAATGAGCCGGGCAACCGCGATTTGTACAGAGCGATGCTAACTGCGGCGGACCTTACCCATGCAGCATATGACTGCCCTAAAAACTTTTCCGCCCAGTTAGTTCTCGCTGCCATAAAGAAAGTTATGGCCGAATTCAAAATTAAACATAGCGTGCCCCGGTCCACCTGGGGCTTTGCATGGAAATTAGCCCGGGCGGGTTTCAGGGCTGAAGCGCCTCCCCGGGCGGGTTTCAGGGCTGAAGCGCCTCCCCGCCCGTGGGAAGCCTTTAAAGATTTTTTGCCAGATGGTGTTGATTTTGGGAGCGTTTGGCTTCCGATGGAGAAAGTCGTCCTTGGCCGCGAAGCCGGCCGCTGGGCTAACGCCATCTGGCTAAAGATGAAGAAGTACGAGTGGCTTGCCTGGCGGCAAGATGCCCGGACCTGCAGCCTCGTAGAGCTACTGTGCTTTTTGCACAACAAATTGGTGAAGCCGGCGCCGGAAGCACACCGGCTCAATTTTTCGGCAGAAGCAATCGCGTTCTTCCGCGCTGCTGTGCCACTGTGCAGGTGCACGCAGCTGAGTACAGCAGATCAGCTGTACAGGAGCACCTGCTTCTGAGTTTGAGCCGCTACTAAAAAAAATAAATGTGCAAATGAATGCATCCTGCAAGAGACGGAGAGGGAGAGAGAGAGAGAGAGCGAGAGCGAGAGAGATACAGATACAGATGCATATATATATATATTTTTTTTTTAAATGGATATATAGATTCACATCAAAATATGTCTATAGATATCTTTTTATTTCAATATATACATATATATATATAAGTATTTTCCTTATACATCTATATCTATATATTTACAATTTGATATGTGCAATCCCTTCCCCTTTTACTAAAACCCGCCCAAATTTTAAAAAGTAGGGTCCATCTCCAATTTTGGAAAATTTCAGGTTGGCCAATTTGACTTTTCAATTGACTTCCTTAAAACAATTTAAAAATAAAGCTACCCATTTGTGGGTTTCGCCCCCTAATCACAAAACCTAGTTAACCCTGGGGTGTTTATTATTAGGGTCCGTCCGAAAATTTTTAGTTTTTATATCAGGGCTTCTTATTTATTATGAGAGCCCGCTTTGCAATCCAATGTTTGGCAATTTTTGTTAGAAAA